ACACGGACTTCAATTCCCATTCTGGCTGGGGAATTCTGGGAGTTGAAATCCACCCATCTCCGTGTTGCAGAGAGGAAGGAGCTCAAGATGTCCTTCATTCATGCCATGCACCTGATATTCTTCATTGAAAAAATGGGCCCATTTAATGCCAGGTCTCATCCACTTCCCAAAGAAAGGAAATATACACCTCTAGATGGCACCACAGCCAAGCTTAGAATTTTGTTCCAAAAACCAGTTTATAGAGATAGAAAAGTACAAAAAGATGGCTCAGCCTCCTGAAGTTTACTTGTCCAAATCTATGTGGGGCGTCTTGGACTTGTGCGTGAATCCTTAAGAGCTTCTGCCAGTAATCTGTGTTGAAAGATGGATGATTTTGCTTGTGAGACAAAGCAAATGATTGTGAGGAATGGATGAACACAGCAGGCCATGGTTTCCTGAGGCTGGAAACGAGAGTTAGCTTCTCTTAAGCAATTGTAGCCTGGGGTCACATGGGCCTGGTTTGTGCGACTTTCCAAAAAAACATTTTAAGTATTTGGTTTGATTTTGGTTCAGTGTTGTGCTACTCCAACCAGCCGTGGTCTAGGTGAACAAACCATGGCTTGGTGAGATTAAAGAGAAACGTCCTAGCTTTCATTGATGCTACCTGTTCTTTCTAGACATAACCAGAGCTAAAATATAACATAGGAATGAGGAAACCGTACCTATCTGGTGCCAAATTGCAATTTCATCTGGATAATGCCAGGGAACATGTCAGAAAACGACTGGGGTGACATGACATATATTCCAGTATTTGAGGGGCTGCCACAAAGAAGAGGGGGTCAACTTATTGTCCAAAACTCCAGAAGGCAAGACAAAAAGCAATGGGTGGAAACTGATCAAAGAGAGAAGCAACCAGGAATTAAGATGAAACTTCCTAACAGTGAGGACAATTAACGGGGTGGAACAGAAGTTGCCTCCAGACATTGTGGCTTCTCAATCACTGGAGGTTTTTAAGAAGAGACTGGGCAGTCACCTGTCTGAAATAGTATAGGGTCTCCTACTTGAGCAGGGGGTTGGACTAGAAGACCTCCAAGGGTCCCTTCCCACTCTTCTGATTGATTGAGTTGCAAGACCCCACCTGGAAAATAGCAGGTTCCGGCTGATAGTATAGATTTCAGTATAACCCATTGCCCAATCTAGTTATTCTTGTCTTGTAGGACGCTGGTTATAATATCCAAATTCAGGATAGGATTTGTTCATTTTTTGGCCTGCTGTATGTGCACCTGGCGATAAATTCAGAAGGAAAAGTGCATCTTTCCTAGGACAGCTACTGCTGCTATGACCTACTTTGAGAAAGTGGGATGCGTATGCAGCACACATATGCAAGTACTCTATGCAAGCACAGGGGCTCTGAATTATTTATGGTCGGTCCGTGTTAATGCAGGATTAAAAGAATCTCCTCTATAATTCAAAGAGCATAGTGGTCCCACACTTGACTCTAGTGCCCCTTGGGGGCCATTTATGCCTAGGTGAGCAGAACTGCAGAACATGGCTGGTTTGACAAGGCAGCGAGGTGGGAATGGCTCAGCCAAAATCAATGTGGTGCCTAAACAGGCACCAAGGAAGAAGCAGATCCGCAGGCATTGAAAAGTGGTGGATTGGGAGCAGGAAGGGGATGTTCTAAAGCAGAGGTGGCCAACCTTGGCAACTTTTAAGATTTGTGGCCAGTAATGGCGCCTTCAGGATCTCTGGACTTCAATTCCCAGAATTCCCCAGGCAGCATGCCTGGGGAATCCTGGGAATTGAAGTCCACAGGTCTTACAGTTGCCAAGGTTGGACACCCTGGTTCTAAAGAGAAGAAACAAGAGCTTAATGACAAAACTTGAGCTTTACATACAAAAAGGATTTCCAGTTAAGACGATTAGATAGCAAGTGATAACTACTCATGCAAGGTGGGTCAATGGTTGCCTCTTATTTGGGAAAGGATTGAAAATTACAAGGTGACTGTCAGAATGCTCAGATAATAAAGGGCTGGAAAAATATTCTTCTCAAGAAGAAACCTGCTTATTAATTAGTGTAGATGTCAATATGCAAAACAGACCAGTAACACAGTTAAGAAAATGTGTGTGAAAATGTTCCTCAAGAAAAGCAACTCAAAGTTGAATTGACTTCTTTAGAATCTTTTCTTCACCGTCATGGTGGAACCATAATCTTTGTGTTGTCATTCTTTTTATGGTTGTTCCTACTTCTACACATCCCTTGGCTCAACACACTAAACTGCCATGGAGTTTGGGTTGGATTTTGTGAGCCGTAGTGTGTGCGCGACTCAGTCACTCTGACCATAAATGCAGTGGATAAACGTTAAAAGCTGTTATCCCTTGAGGATTTCTTCTGATTCCAACATCTCTTCAAGGTCATGAAACCCTAGATCAGGGGTAGTCAACCTTTTTATACCTACTGCCCACTTTTGTATCTTTGTTAATCGTAAAATTTTCTCTAACCGCCCACCGGTTCCACAGTAATGGTGATTTATAAAGTAGGAGACAAAACCCCTACCGCCCACCATGAAAGCTGGAATGCCCACTAGTGGGCAGTAGGGACCAGGTCGACTACCACTGCCCTAGATGATGACATAGTCTTTTTTGTTGATATATAGACTTAGGATCTCTTCTTCCCATTGAAGAGTTTTGAAAAATAGCTCAAGCTTTTGCTTCCAACGGCTGCTTTAGAACAATGTTTTGCTCTGTTTTCTCTCTTGTTCTTGCAGTCAACACCCAAAAGTTTGGCTCTGCAACCAAACAGGACCGACACAGACTTCGACGGATAATTAGAACTGCAGAAAAAACAATTACTATTAACCTGCCTTCCACTGAGGACCTGTATACTGCATGAGTCAAAAAGAGGGCTGTGAAAATATTTACAGACCCCCTCACATCCTGGACATAAATTGTTTCAACTTCTACCCTTAAAACGCTATAGAGCACCGCACACCAGAACTAGACACAAGGAGAGTTTTTACCTAAACACCATCACTCCACTAAACAACTAATTCCCACAACATTGTCAAACTACTTAGTACTTAGTAAGTCTACTTAGTAAGACTATGTATTACTATTATTCTTCTCATCCTTCCTATTACCTATCTCTTCCCACTTATGACTATAACCATGTTGCTTGTATCTTTACAATTTATATTGTTTTGTTTCCTAGTATGATTTGATTTCTTATTTAGTATCCTATGACTATCACTAAGTGCTGTATCTTATGATTCTTGATGAATGTATTTTATTTTTCCTTTATGTACACTGAGAGCATATGCACCGGAGACAAATTCCTTGTGTGTCCAATCACACTTGGCCAATAAAGAGTTATTCTACTCTACTCTACTCTACTCTACTCTACTCTACTCTACTCTACTC